ATCATCATCATCATCATCATCATTATCATCATCATCATCATCATCACCATCACCACCACCATCATCATTTCCTTCCTTACCCTAGATCAGGGTATAGGTCACCGTCAAACATTTTCCATGTTTCCCTATCTTGGGGTGTGCTCTTGACATTATTCCGTGACATTCCATCGACACAATAACGGTCATTTCATGCAGGCAAACAAAAAATAGCAAGGCAGACATCATCATCATCATCATCATCGTCATCACTTCCTTTCTTACCCTAGATCAGGGTAAAGGTCACCTACTAACACTTTCCACGTTTCCCTATCTGTGGTTGCATTCTTGACATTATTCCTTGACATTCCACTTTTCTATACATCATCTCTCTGACTCTTCTCACAAGACAGACATATATGAACAAGACAAGGGAAAAAAACGATGTAGGACCTACCATGTGGTACCCTTTATCCACCCAATTGTTTTCTTCAACGGTAGTCCAAAACAGCCAGCTATGTCGGCAGTATCAAGGGCATAAATTGTCATTTTTGCAGAAGCAGAAAAAGATGCAATACCAAAAAGAAGAAGAAGAAGCAGAAAGAGCTAGCCACACCTGGACACCGACCAACCGTTTACGAAGAAAGGAGAAATGGCGATGAAGTGAGCTCATATTATTGATTTTAAAAAGATAAAAATTTGTTTTTGTGTGAGCTCAGGTGTTTGATTTTGACAATGAAATAAAGGGCAATTAATACAGATCCAAAATGTCACAACGCAATTTAAGTTAGATAAAAAGAAGTAAAAGAAGGGAGATAGAAAGTGGAAGAGAGAGAGAACAAAAAAGAGAAGGAGAGAGTGGAAGTGGAGAAAAAGATGGGAACGGAGGCAGGAGAAAATGAGAATACAAAAAACTCATTAATGTCGCCTTGTTTTCTTGAAAGCTGAAAGACACCCATCCCTTTCTTTTTTTTGTATATCTGTCTATCTGTATGTCAGTCTGTCTATCTGCCTGTCTGTCTATCGGCTTGTGTGTCTGTCTATCGGTCTGACTGTCTGTCTGTCTGTTTGTCTGCCTGCGTGTCTATCTGTGTGTCTGTCTGTATGTCTGTATGTCTGTTTGCCTGTCTGTCTCTCCCTTTGCCCTCTCTTCCCTCCTTTCTTAGTCTCTCTCTCTCTCTCTCTCTCTCTCTCTCTCTCTCT